TAATACAATTTACAAATTACAATTCAAGCGGGCAAGATTGGGCAGGCCTGCAGTTTCGCACGCTTTTCGTCTTTAGTTTCTTCCTGTTTATTCCTTCAGTCTTTTACGAGTTTTTTCTCAAGTAATGTGATATATATCTAACTATTCCAAAAGCTACTACTGTTTATTTTGTTCGTTCATTGTTATTTCGACCAAAATACAGTATTTTCATCTGAAAATTCTAGGGCTTTCTATTCTATTAAAATATCTGGGGGGTTTTATCGAAAAGAATGCTTGAATGTCGGCATGAATCGTGTTCATTGTATTAGTGCAAGGCAGACGTGGGGATTTAAAAGATGGTATTCGCTTTTCCTTCCATAAGTAAGTCTATGAAACACACACATCATATATTTGTACACTATATAAAGTCTATAACTTACATCATATAAACAGAATAGTTTAATATTAATAGAATAAAACAATTTGTTTTGTAAATACTGTAATGACAACGTCACAACAAATGTAGTTTTGAGTTTGCTAGCTACAATATAAAACTATTTACAGTTTTAATAAAAGAATATTAGACCAAACAACTTGTTTTGATGTCTGTGTCAATCTGTGTTAGGAGTCTCTCTCTATATATATATGCATGTTGACAACAACTGTCATAGAGGTCCTTGTCCTGTTCAAGGTCAAAAATGTTTTACTTTTGTTCACATCAGTGAACCAAAAATATATCTTTCCCTTTGCACTATTGGATTTCCTATAACCAATCCCAGCCTGCTAAAAAATGAAATGGGCAGACTGGATGCCAATCAAATATCCAGTCTTGTCAGGGTTCGCACACTTTCTCCGATTTAAAATTCCATGACTTCCCATGACTATTTTTTTCAAAATCCATGACCTGGAAGTCTGGAATTTCTGAAATTCGTTAATATTTTAACGATAACAGATATAGTAAAAGAATAAAATTCACTTCGCTCTTGCAAAAATCTGTTATATAACAGCAATTCATATTATTGTTATGACTGGTAAATTGAAAACAGCGATTCATATTATTGTTATGACTGGTAAATTGAAATAAGTAATTTTGATTTTCCAGGATTTCCAGGCCTGGATTTTGGAATATTGAAATTCCATGACTTTCCAGGACCCGTACGAACCCTGTCTTGTGTGAGAAACACTTCACACCCGATGATTATATTAACCCATCGAGTTGCAATGCACCCTACTTTATTATTTTACTCTGTCTAACGCCAGACAATTTTACTCATCAAGGGGAGAGCAGCGGCACTTAATAGGTTAACTGGCCTATCTGCCCATGTGTTTTTTTTTTGTGCCCTATTTTATTATTTTACTCTGTCTAACGCCAGACAATTTTACTTGTCAAGAGAAAGTGCTGATGCTTAAGTCAGCTGTCTCAAGGGGAGAGTGCCTGAAGGGGAGAGTGCTGATTGTGGAGAGCAATCAATAAAAGGCCAATCCAACTTATCCAAGAAATATCTAAACGAAGATGCTGTCCCATCTATTTTTGATTATCAATGATGAATCAATCAGGTTTCTTGGAGAGAACTAGATACTGTGAAGGTTTTTTATGCATACCAGCCAAATTAGTCAGTTTCTTCAAACTAGTTTCCATTGAAAACTTTCGCTGTCACTAGTTCTCTCTACAAACCTGATTGATTCATCACTTTTCACTGTCCAGGCCATATAGACTTGAGATCCCTTGCATCTGCAGCATCAAGGAGGTTGTCAAAGTCACACTAAACAGAGCATCATAATTTTCGCACCAGCAGACCAAATAAATCAAGTAAAATAGGTTTTAACTTCAAAATACTTCACAATATTATTCCCTGTTATATATCCCAACCAAGATCCTCGATAAAAAAAGCACCCACAGAACCAAAACCTTTATTTTCTGTAACAAAATGTTTCGAACTGCTCAACCGACTATGTGATGATTTTCAGATAACATTTAGCGATCGATTATTTCGTCTTTATTAAACTTAAATTGTACAAATATTCATCCAAAACCTTCACACCAGTTAGTTCTTGCCAAAATAAAGTGATAGAACGGGATCGGAAGCTGTAGGACGACGCAAAATGCGAAAAACATTTTTTTTCCCTATCTCGCTCTATGATTTTTGCCCGGTTGAGCCGCCATTTTGAATGCTCGCCAATTAATCGCATTGCGTTATGAAGGAATTAAACGATCTAGGTCTCCTATATCTATGAGTGAAGGTGGTACCTTTATGAAACTGGTTGAAATAGTTGTCGAACAGGAATTTGGTATTGGGCAAGATTTCCAGTTGGCAACAATAATTCAAATAACTTTAACAATATCAGTAACAGCAGAAGCAGTAAGACTACTGGTTCATGAAGGTTATTACAAATCTTCAAAAAGTACACATCAAAAATTAGATGAATCTTCTGTTTCAAGGGTTTTACTTATCAAAAAAGTTAATAAGGTCAACATCAATATACTGTTCATATGTGATCAGCAGTTAGCAACCATAATATTCATTGCAAGATGAAGTACTTCCCATGCTAACTATAGAAACCAGTTCAATCATGGAGGCGAAACTAAGCATGCAAGAAGTAATACACGACATTTTCGAAGATTATGACAGTCAAAACATGCCAAAAAATCACGAAACTCACTCGGAAGAACATGGGAAAGAAGAACAATGTTTAGTAGAGCCTGGAATATCTCGCTTGCTGTATGGAAGAAGCATAAATGCCGGTGTAGTGTACAATCAGGAATCGCTATTATGGCTTGAAGCCATTTTAGATGATTGGCTGGTCGTAGGGGTATTCGTAGGCCTTATTACTCTGAGATTAGATGCCTATACCCATGGAAATGTTTATTGTCTTGACCTGAACACTGGAAAAGGCTCAAAGTCCTATGTTTAGCGAACCAAGGTGTTATGTAGTAAGAAATGCAAAGGAAATTGTTGTTTCTTTCACCTCACTCGAATCTGTGCAATTATTTCTCGCATTGCTAATCTAAAGAGAAGTTCTCGGCTACCTAGGAAGAAAATTGTCCGGCGGACGGAAATATTATATCACCAAATTGTTGGTATCCCCTACAAAGGATTTTGCACTAGCATACAATTTTAAAAAGGGACTGTTAATAATTTCATTCTATTTTGGTGAGTGGAATGCCCGTGGGTTTCCTCTACACAGCTGCGAACTGTAAGTGTTGTAGGTATTTTACTTTAGTATAAAATGATGAGGCTCATATTTAAAACCTTTTATTAAAATATTTGTTATTGTTAAAATACAATTGTGTGAATTTACTATTAGCTAAATGACTTCATAGTTAACACAAATACTATGATAATATACAATAGTACAACAGCACTTTTTAATAAAGATTGAAATATCTGCTCAAACTGTTATTGTAGCTCCAAACTAGCTACACAAACAACTTTTTAAATTTGCACTAGCCAATAATACTCTCATGACATGCTGGGGGAATATTGTAGAAATATTTGAGTACAGTAGTAAATGAGATGTAATAAAGAAAGAAGGAAAGTAGAGTGATATTTAAAATTGATTCTTATCTTGGGGTTAGGGAGGCGGGCATTTACATTGACTGGTGTTCACATTCACAGAGTAGCCTGCCTAACCTGGCTGGCCCCTCACTTGTGTCAGAAGCATGTTGTTTCACAAAATTAAAGGATCATCATAGCGAGAAGGTTGATGATGTTCTCAATAATGGATCAACTCTATCACTGCATTGTTCATGCTACCCATTCATAACAGACCTCTGACCAAAAGGTTTTTACAACTGGCGCCAACAAAATAACATTTTGTACAATAATTAGAAATTCTGTTGTCCGTCTAATTTCACATGGGGCTTAACCCATCGAGTGACAGCAATCTACCCCTGATGAGTAAAATCATATGGCTTTAGACATAGTAAAATAATAAAGTAGCTAGGGCACATCCAGGCGCATTGCCACTTCAAGGGTTAATCTTTATCAGATTTGCCAAGTCACCCAGGCAAAGCAATTTTCACAAGCTGGTGGCCTGTTAGGTGGGCCTAACTGGAGTATTTGACACCCTACAGGGTTTTCTGAATTCTGAAATGACAAAAATTAAATATTGTTCATGCCGATCACTTAATGCGAGGCCTAATGATGCACACAAGGTGCATGGATGTATATATGAAGTAACTCTCATCCAGTGCACTTACTTACCTGCATTTTCAACCTTTTCAATAATACTTAACCTTAATGGATGAAGACAAAACCTGCACCCACAACATTCACTTTCTTTCTTCATTCCACACTTGCAAAAACCTGGTTCTTTCACACGTTTTGGGACATAACTCTGCGAACTTGAGGTGGTAGGCTTTGCTGATTTGTAGCCTTTTTCACACAACCAAATAAGAGAGACATATTCGTGCATAAAAAACTGTTCCCACCTGTTCTGGTAATTAGAGTTTTTACAATACCTTGAAATGGAAATATGTTTGGCTTCCCTGCCCTCCATGGAATTTAAACCGAGACCCATATTGTATTTTGCTTTCATCTCTTTTGCATGAGTGGGCACAATTTGTCCTAAAGTCCAAACTGTAGGATGATGGTCAAAAAAGATATAGTTCAGGGTAAAGTAGATCTTACAATGGGTCCCCAGCTCCGGGAGTTGTTGGTCACTTATTTCAATTCAACTGAAAAGCGAAACACATTCACGCAGAGTCAAACAAATATGCCAAAACATGATAAGTATGTTCTTTGCAATACCCCTGTTTTGCACTTGGTTCAACAGCATCAATTAAATACATGAAATTTTGTAAGAATAATCTGGAATCTTTTTCAGTAAAACGACAATGAAATGCTTTACCATTTGCTCCAGTTTCGTTGAACCATCTCACAATCCTATTTGCAAGGCGAGAAAGTTTACATTTTGTTTTCATTGCATTAACATACCGTGCAAAGGGTGAACTGCCAGGAATTTTGGAAAATATTGTCTCTGTTAAATTTGAATGACTAATCACTTCATTCAAAGATAGCTATGGGCATGAGCACAAACATTGTTTTTTAAATGCAAAGCCCTACATGAGCACGGTCTACAATGTTCCCTAATAAAGGTTCAAATTCCTGTCTACTCTTTTTTCGGCAATGAAACTTGTTACTTTATGCCGTTTGGGGGTATCGGACAACTTTGTCTTGGAAATTTTATTCTTTAACTGCTCAACAGACTTAACAACCTCTTCATCCTATCTGAATATTCCCAGGGCTTCCATGTGTTTTTGGCCTCCCTACCAAATGTACCATGAATATTATCAGCATTGTCACTAGATACATAAGCAAATGACGAGAAGTCTTTTGCACTATTACTTAATTCCCCTGCCAAAAATGCTATCATTTTCATATCATTCGGGAGTTCACCGATTGAAAATCTTACCATTACCTGTTTACCATCATGAGTGCAACTTATTGGTTCCTTCTCAATGCAATATATATCAGTTAGAAGCAACTTAATAAACCGTTGAGCAGGAAAACAGTTTTCACTGCAGTTTGCCCCAAAAAGTAAATAATTCTCGTTGCTGCTTAATACCCCTCTCCTTATATTTAGAAAACTGATCAGCCATGCACATGAAGTGTCATCCTTCCTGAATGGTGCGCCATCACCTCCAAGAGAAATAACAAATGTATAAGGTGCACCAAACCAGTTAATGAAATGACCGCTACATCCCGACAGATAGAACTCTGCCAGTTTAACTACCATCTCCTTGAGACTTCGATAACATCCACACACTTTGTCACTTTTATTTTATTTATTTATTTATTAGTTTCGCCATATTACAATACACAAAACTATAACAAGAACAAGAATAATAGACATGACTATAGGCAGGGTAACCGCAACAGCGTGAGCCAATTACTGTGGGCCCGAACAAAAACAATTACTTTCATTCAGTCCATCGCAAAGTGTGTCATAAACATTAAAAATTGTACCCAAATCTATGGATTTAACATAGGGCATTAAATGGTTATAGGGACAAGCCTTGGCAAAGGGCAATTATGAATGGATAGCCGTACACATTTACTATTACTGCTATCTACATTGTAACAACTATCTTTATAAAGCTTCCTATACTTTTGGTTACCTGTAATACCACCACTATAATATACTGCAATGCTTCTCACCATATTTTCCACAGATGATTCATATGACTTTAACTTCTTTCTATATATGCAAGGCAACAATGAATTGACAAACTTTGTGGTTGAAGACATACTATTAACTAAAATATCTTTCGAGCATTTAGCTAATGCAGTATCTATAAGACCAATTGCTCCAGGTGCTGATAACTCATCCTTTCCTCCATGAATTTTTCTAGCTGCTTTGAATGTGGCTTTTCTTCTTTTCCTGGCTAATGCTGCACCTACACTGATCTTTCCATCTTGAGAATATGTCTGAATCCTCCATCTACTCTTTTCTGTGCTATTACTACCATGTTCCGAGCTACCCCTTGCTTCCTGATCCAACTCATCTTTCACTTCCTGCAAACCCTCAACTTATATATTGACAAACTATAGTTCATAAACACAATTGATTATATCATGTTTAGCATGGGAGGTATAACCCATTGAGTTGCATTGCACCCTGATGCGCCCTACTTTATTATTTTATTATGTCTAAAGGCTCTTTTCCACTAATCACACGAGTCAACTCGCAAGCTCGCTGCGAATACTTTCATCCAATCACAATACCCGACAGTTTATTATAATCGGATGCAAACACTCGCAGCGAGGTTGCGAGGTGGTTTTTGCGATGAGTGGAAAAGAGGCTAGACGCCAGACAATTTTACATGTCAAGGGGAGAGCGCTGGCACTTAATGGGTTAAACACAGGCTCTTGAGCCAAAGCACAAAATTAAAGGTGATTGGTCATTTTGCTACACACAAAATGGTTTAGGGTTGAGATAGGTTTTGGGTAGGTTTTGGGGGTAGGTATAGGGTTTAAGTTTCGGTTTAGGGTAGGTTTAAGGTTAGGTTTAGGGTAGGTTTTTGAGTAGGTGTAGGGTTTAAGGATAGGTTTAGGGTAGGTTTAAAGTTAGGGACAGGTTTAAGGTAGGTTTCGGAGTAGGTGTAGGGTTTAAATGGACAGGTTTAGGGTAGGTTTTGGTTTAGCTTTTGGGTTAGGTTTTGGCCTTTTCAGTTGATAGGATTGGGTTTTGTGTGTGTAGAGAAATGACTTGCAGCGAAATGACTTGCAGCAAAACGACTGGTACGGCATAAATTTAACAAAACATAACAAAATTAAGTACCTTCTTGTCAAGCCTTTGGCATTTCGCTTTCATTCTGGGCAGTTCTTTTGTTTTGTTTTTCCAAAGCGACCACAGAAAGTTTGTCCTCAAGTTCGTTTATTCCACGGTTCTTCATGACAATTTTCTGCCGTAAACGTTTCTTCTCATTTGTGAAATCACCAATATTAAATTTCGACATGGTGACGAGCAAAGCCCAAACGCAGCTCGCGAAATTAAATTAAATACGGCAACTTCAAGGCCAAAAATTAAAAAACTAAAACCAAGGCATCTTGGTTTCATATCAAGTGATTGTCTTTCAGCAGTAATTATTGCTTTAACGTAAATAATAAAGAATTTACACCAAGGGTCAAATTCAGTCTTCGCATGAAGAACTAAAAGGCCATAAACAGGCAAAATTCGATTTGATGTACCGACGATTAGATTGCACTTCGTAGGTCAAGTTTGGTATCAAAATGCTCCTCGTTATCGCATCTGTTCAGATCCGATTACATGATCCAAGTTCGAACATCTCCAATCACCACAAAAGGCATTGAATTTAGCAGATATTTCGGGATTTCAAATCAACACCAAGCTGCAAATTTGCGACTCACGCGTGCATGCGAAATATTACGCATAAGTTATCGTTTTTGGAACATTTTATGCCCGACGTGTAAAGTTGTTCCTCAAGAGTGAAGACCCCAAAATGCTTGAATACCATGCAGTCTAAGCCCTAATTTTTCACATCATGCATACATCATCATGATTGGGATGCAGGATTTGCATTCATACAACTGTATACTTGTAAATAAAATATACATACATACATAATACAATAAAATATTACAAACTTGAAATATTCATCAGGACTAAGAAAGTAATCACTTTCGTCGTCGTTCTATTCCTGCATAAGACAGTAAAAGAATCGGGTACAGCTCTAGAAGTTGGAAATGCAGTAGCTAGTAGACCACATTGAAGCTTTAAAACAGGGCTGCAAAAAAAATTTATTTTCTGGGACCACAAAGCCAACTAAAATATTTTCTGCACACAAACACTGTGAATTTTGTGTTTAAATTTGATCATTGCTAAACAAGGTTCAGTATATTCTATGCACCATTGCATTAGTGCATGAGTCAATTCCATGAGTAACCATCCCCCCCGGAACACTGAATTGGCTCACAGATTAGTGCCCCAGGGCCGGACATTGGTTAGTGGCTAAAAGACCCCCGGACATTTGACACTAGCGGAAAAAACCCAACTTTATCAAGATCGAATGATCGCTCTCATCACTCAGCGCCTCATGTAGTCGACTTTTGTAGTTTTGTGTCGGTCATGTGTTTAATATTATATCAGTTTGACAATATGGATCAGTTTGCTGGGAAAGAAATCAAGTTTGTAAGTGATTGGCTGAAGGAAAACAACCTAGAGAAGTTGGTGGATGTTTTTGAAGGTATTTATTTTCATGCATTTCAATAAAATATTCAATCATTTTATGAATATGTAAATAATTATGTAGATCGATTCAAGTCACGAAGACGGTCACAAAGTCCTTCAAGACAATCGTCTTGAGTGAGTTGAGGATTAAATAATACAAAATAATATCTGATAATACACTGTTACTGAACTAAAGTTTAATACCAGAATACAGTTTTAAGTTAGACGGTTTATACCCCCATGCATTACGTGTTTTTTTAACGATATGGATGTAAAACATTTTTTGATATATCCCGGGGGTGGGACATTTGCCACCTAACAATTGTCTGGGGGGCGTACATTTACCCTACTGGTGTCTCCCCGCAGCCGGGAATTTGCCCTTTTTTTCCAAAAAAATGCTAATGTCCGGGTATATTCCAGGGGGGGATGGTTACTCATGGAATTGACTCATACATAGATTTGAAACCAAAATAACATATTTTAGCTGCTAGCAGTGGTTTGTAGCTGAGCTGAGGAGAAACCACTGCGAGCAAAAGAACGATCCAGACTAATGGACAAATACATTAAATGAGAAACCAGTAAAACAAGTTTGACAAGTTTTTGTTATTGTTTACATGGGTAACTGCTTGGCACTACTGGTAAAATGCAAGTCAGTTGTACTAAAACAACACAATTACACTCTAAATATAGTAACACACTAAATATTGAATAAAATGTTTGAAACTGTATATTAAGATAACTTGAAAACCGCCTACAGTTCAACAGAGTAACTATAAATTCACACATTGCAACAAAAATCAAACCTTTTACAGAAATAGTAGTGCAGTCACAATAATCTTTCATCAGTTGAAATTTGTAGCGGTTGAGGTCGTGACGATCAAATTGCAATAATTGTCAAAATCAACAGTAATTGGAAACGTTATTGTATTATTTGGAAACTTGGAATTGGAATTTATCGAAAATCTTAACACAATCTCCAACGTTTAAGTAACACAAATAAAGTTTGCAGACCGAATTAAAAAAATTGATATTGATCAGATAAATACAAAAATTTAAAAAGATATAACAGAATTCAAATGCACAATTTGTAGCCATAGGGTGAGGCACCGATTTCAAAATCTTTTAGAAGTAAATTGTGAACTGCATGTAGAATAAAAATTCAGACAGATAACAAAGAAAACAGTACTATGCCACGCTTGTTTACGTACAGATAACAAACTGTCAAACTACAGCAAATGAAGTCAAATTAGTGTCGTATTAGTCTCCAAAACCACTGCCAAGGTAGACATGTTTCAATGTGGCTATGGAATAAATACTCTTTATATTTTAATTTATAACAACAAACATTTACATTTTAACGAATGATGAAAATGACCACTGGGAACTGTCTGCAGTTTAAGAATCTACATTCTTATAATTTTAATATATTTGTTATAAATATCTTAATGGATGAAAGTTCATGAGAAGGGCAGAAGGCTGTTGTGTATTGGAACATATTGCTTAGATTTTTACTACATTGTAAGAAATCACCACACTCACAGACTTTTTAATCTACATATTGTAGTTGTTAAATGAGTTGTATTCATATGTAACTGGAGTGGTATTTTCAGAAGTAGCTAATACACTAGATGAAATATAACAACTGCATAGAGGATTTCGTCTTAATATCTGCTAGACTGCTGTCTACCTGTCTTTGACCATAGTATCTGGCTGCTGGAGAGCCGCCTGTACCGGTATACAACCTCGTTCCCAGGGTCTTTCTTAGAACGGCGCGAGGCGAAGGAAAGACCCTGGTTTCGGCTGGTCACGTATCACCCAGATTCTGGGTGATAAATTAAAATGATACTATGGGCAGGGTGGGAGAGGAGCGTGTTTGTCGCGTTTGTAACAATTTTTGCAATTTTGTGTGATGGATTTTAAATTTGCAACAAGAAATCGTGAAGAGAACTGCAATTAAAAATTAATATTTATCGCGATGTGACTTTCTGCTGTATAATCTAGTGTCAAGTTACAATTCAAGCAAGTTGGATCAGATTTCAACTTAT